ATGGCCTGCGGCAGGGCTGAAAAAACGACTCGGCGGCGGCGGCGGGGAGCAGGGCGATTGGTTTGGCCACGCAGTCCCCCCCCTCGGGGTTCGGGGGCCCCCCTAACCCCCGAGGGCACGAAACGCTTCCACTGGAAGCGCTGCCTTGGGGGGCTTGGGGGGTCACGTGCCCGCAAGGAAGGCATCGGGGGCCGAAAGGCTCGGCGGCGGCGGCGGGGGGCAGAGCGACTCGGTCGGCGACCACCCTCGCCCCCCGTGGGTTCGACCTCGAACCCCCGAGAAGGCGAAACGCGTCCATTGGAAGAGTCGCCCTCGGGTGTTTGGGAGATCCCGCGCCCACGCGAAAGGCGGCGGTTCTGGGCCAAGTGAGCGTCGCCCCTCCTCTCCCACCCCCAGTGGGTTCGGGGGTTCACCGGGGCCCCGAAGACGCGAGACGCTGCCGGCGGAAGCGTCGCCCTCGAAGCCAGGGGGAGCTCCCGCGCTCGTGGGAGAGGGATCGGGGGCCAAGCGGCTCGGCGCCGACGGCGGGGGGGGGGGGGCAAAGTGAATCGGTCGGCTGCGCTCTCCCTCCCCGTGGGCTCGGGGCCCCCCCGGACCCCCAAAAGGCACGAAACCATGGGAAGCGTCGTCCACGTGGGTTTGGGGATCCCGCGCGCTCAAGAAAGGAAGCGGGGACCGAGCGACTCGGCGGCGGCGGCGGGCGGGGGGCAGGGCGACTCGTTCGGCCGCGCTCTCCAGAAGTTGTCCAAAACCGACAGCGGCCGCTGTTCGGCAGGTGGCCTCGTGTCTCGAATGGACAACGTCCCCCGCGACCGCGACAGCGAGCCCTGCTCAAGATGATGAGGAAAAGCGGCGGGTTTCCGCACGCATTCTGTCCGTGCCCAAGCTGCGAAGAACTCGACCCGCCTTGCTGGCACAGCTTCCAGTGGCCTGCACGCTCCACCCACTTTCATCCGCTAGGTTTGGACAAATCCGCCGTCGCGCCCGCGGCGCGCTGCGGGCGCGCAGGACTGGAGACGCTGCAGTGGGCCCCACACAGCAGGTTGAGCACCGCAGTCTAAGCCATCCAGGGCCGCGCGACGCGAGACAATGGTGCCCCGGCCGCGATCACTTCGAAGAAGTCCCAGTCCTCCTCCTCCTCCTCCTCCTCCTCCTCCTCCTCCTCCTCTTCCCCTTCTTCCTCATCCTCCCCTTTCCCCTTTCCCCCTCCTCCTCCTCTCCTCCTCCTCCTCCTCCTCCTCCTCCTGTTTTTTCCCTCCTCCTCCTCCTCCTCCTCTTTTCCTCCTCCTCCTCCTCCTCCTCCTCCTCCTCCCCTCCTCCCCCTCCTCCCATATGTTTGCTCTCCCCCCCTCTCCTCGTCGTCCGCCTTCTCCTCCTCTTTCTCCTCCTCCTTCTCATCCCCTCCTCCCCCTGCTTTTCTTCTTCCCCTTCTCCCCCTCCTCTTCCTCCTTCTCCTCCTCCTCCTCATCCTCCTCCTCCTTCTCCTCCTCCTCGTTCTCCTCCTCCTCATCCCCCTCCTCCTCCTCCTCCTCCTCCTCCTCGCCCTCCACCCGCCACGAAGGAGCCGTTTTCAATGAATATCTCTGGAGCCTGTAAGGAGCCTGTAAGGAACGTCGAAGGAACTCCAGAGTAGCCTCCAAGGAGCCTTTAAGCAGCCTCTAAGGGACCTCGGAGGAGCTTCTGGGGAGCCTTTAAGAAACTTCGAGGCACCCTCTAAGGAACCTCAGAAGAACATTTAAGGAGCTTCTAAGGAGCCTTCAAGGAGCCTCCAAGGAACTAAGGAATCTCAGAGGAGCTTCTAATGAACCTTCAAGGGGCCTTTAAGGACCCTTCAAGGTGCCTGTAGGGAGCCTCCAAGGAGCCTTCAAGGAGCTTGTAAGGAGCTTGTGAGGAGCTTCTGCGGAGCCTCGCAGAAGCTTCTAAGGAGATTGTAAGGAGCCTCTAAGGAGCCTGTTAGGAGCCTCTAAGCAGTCTTAAAGGAACCTCGGAGGAGCCTCTAGGGAGCCTCTAAGGAACCGCTCAGGAATCTTTAGAACCTCAAAGGGGCCTCTAATGAGCCTTTAAGGTACCTCTAAGGAGCCTCAAGGGAGCTTCCAACGAACTTCTGAGGAGCCTTCGGGCGACCCCATCCCACCCCCCACCCGGTTGGGACCTGGAGGGGGGGGGACCCCCCTCGTTCGAACCGGGGCGGGAGGTGGGGAGGAGACCGGAAATGGGATACAACTCGAACTGTTTCCAACCACGCTTCTACACAATGCAATCCCGTTGGTATTGATTCCAACCGCTCGAGGAGAAATCTCAACCAATATCCATGAGAAGCCCCACAGGCGTCTCAGAGGCGCCGTACGGGCGTCTTCGAGGCGTCCGTCGTATGGGCTCGTCCCGTCCGGGGCTGGCCGGATCCGGCGGGAGTGGAAGCTCCCAGCCGTGGTGCTGCTGTTGTCAGCAAGAAGCTGCGCTCAGGGGTAGCAGGGGCTATGTCGCCCTGCCTGCGGGCAGGCGGACTCGTCGTCGTCGTCGCCGTCGCCGTGGTCGTCGTCGTCGTCGTGGTCGTCGTCGTCGTCGTCGTCGTCGTCGTCGTCGTCGTCGTCGTCGTCGTCGTCGTCTCTCCAGGGCCACTTTTTGGCCAAGGCTTCGAGGCGCACCCCCCCGCAGCCGTTTTGGCTCGGGGGCAGGCGGCGATGGCAGGCCCCTAGGCAGGAGGGGGGCGCCGCCTTCCCCCCCCGGGACCCCGCGCCATGTCCTGCTGCGACATCCTGTCCGGGCCCGTCTCCAGCGCGGCCCTCTTCCTCGCGAGCCTGCTCCTGTTCCTGCTCCAGCACGGGGGCCTCCCGGGGGGATCGGCGGAGGCGCCCCCACGGTCGCAGGAGCAGGTCCTGCTCGACCTCTCCAAGGTCGCGCTCGGGGCGGTGTGGGCCGGCGCCATGACGTCCGCATGCTGCGCCTCGATGCTGGGCTCCATCGAGCCAGCGGGGGACGAGTGCGGGTGGTACGCGGTGGAGATCATGCTGGACACGTCCCTCGGCATGTACGCCTCGCTGTGGATCCTGCGCATCGCCGTGTGGTTGATCAAGAAAGTGATTTCGGAGCGGAAGGCGCAGCAGGTCTGCGCCGGCAAGTACCGCAGCAAGACCGGGGCCTTCGTGAAGGTGGTGTACGCGCAGCAGGTGATGCTGTGGGTCTTGGTCATCTCCGTCTCCAAGCTCGGCGTGGCCGCCCTTGTCCTGTCGCAGGCCTTCCAGCTGCAGGTCTTGGCCCGCTTCTTCCTCGCGCGGGCCTTCGGCGTGCCCGTGCTCGGCTACCTCCTGATGGCGGCGTTCCGGGTGCTCATGCAGGCCGTGCAGTTCTGGCTCGCCGAGCGGATCTTCGTCCGAGCCAGGGCCTTCGCCGAGGGGGACCCGTTCGACCTCGAGGCGGGAGCCTCTGGGAGCCTGTTTGCCTTCGAGGACGGCGGCTACGTGCCCCCGGAGGCCCCGAAGGTGGACCTGGAGGCGGCGCTGGCGGCGCCAGACGGCCCGCGCGGAGCAGCGGTGCCGAGGGATCCGCTCGGCGAGCTGATCTCGAGGCTGGAGGCGGACCCAGGCTACCTGGAGGAGGCGCTGCAGGGGCTGCTGCCGGAGCCTCATCCAGGCAATGAGCTACCTTCTTGGGGGGATTTCGCCAGGGACGTCGGCAGCGAGGGCTTCGCTGACTCGTGCCAGATCTGCTTCCTGCAGGGATGGGAGGACGAGAGCAACGACGCCGTCGACCCCGTCGGCCTGTTCCCAGCCGTTCGGGAGCTGATGCAGTCCAAGGAGCTCGCGGTGACGCTCCCGCAGTACTCAGCCCTTTTTGGCTTCTTCGACCGCGACGGGGTTGGATCGGTCTCGCAGACCACATTCCCAGACTTCGTCCGCTACGTGGCGGTTATGGCCTACCTCGGCGCCTGCCGGGAGAGCGGGAGCGGCAGGCCCGTGGACGACGCAGGCGCCGAGGATGCGGAGGAGCAGCCCTGCGAGGAGGAGGTCCAGAGGCGCCTCGACGAGACCCGCGCGGAGCTGGAAGCGTTGGGGGCCTCGGCGCTGGAGCCGGACGCGACCGGCGCCGGAGGCATCGATGAGGAGCGCCTGAAGGTGCAGATGGACGAGGAGTTGCTTGCCAGGAAGCGCCAGGAGCTGGAGGAGCTCCGCGCCAGGGCGCGGGCCGAGGAGGACGCGCTCGTGGCCGCGCAGCGGCCGAGCGGCCGAGGCGAGGTCCGGCACTACGAGCAGGACCGGGCCGGCGCCCCGGGGCCGCAGCGCAAGAAGGGCTGCCTCCCGGCGTGCGGCAGGAAGCAGTGAGGCCGCGCTGTGGGCGCCCGCCCCCCCCCCGTCCAGCCCGTCGGCCTCCCACTACCCTCGTCAAAATTAACCTCAACAGTTGCTGGCACGTCATTTCGATTTCGGCGCGCCCCTCAATGTCGACACGCTGCCCCTTTAATGTCGGGGCGAGGGCAAAAATAGTCTGGCCGAAGTTGACTCGAAAGTTTGACGTCGACGGACATTGGAGGGGCGGCGCATGAAAGTACCCCGCACTCATCGATACTCGGCCCCAGATCTTCCGACAAGCAGTTCAACCACGTCAGACATTTTTGATGTTAATATCGACGAGGGTTGCAGGAGGGAGGGGGGGGGGCCGTGAGGGGGGCGGATTGCAAGGGCGGACTCCTCAGGGTACAGCCCACCAGACCTGGAGCGTGGCCCTAGGCCGCGGGCTTTGGCGGCATCGGCCGAACGGGCCGCACCCGCCTCCGTCAGCCGCGGCGGTCTCATTTGCGCAGGGCGGCGCCGGAGGCCATCTCAGATCGCGGGCGCAGCCTGCCGGGATCGTTTTACAGCATGCTGCAGCGGTCGCGCGTAACAAAACAAAAAGTTCGAGGCGGCCCCGGCCGTGGCGACGAGGGGCCCCCCAGGAGGCGCTTGAAGAAGCGGTCGCCGTCCTCGCCGCCGTCTTCGCCGTTGCCGCCGTGTGTCCTGGTCGTCGTTGTCGTCGTCGCTGCTCGCGCGCGGCGGCCCCCTCCGAGGAGGTGCGCCCCCTCCCCACGCGCGCGCGCGCGCGCGTCGTCGTCGTCGTCTTCGTCGTCGTCGTCGTTCGGTCGTTCCGCAGGGTGGCGGCCGTGACGCCTCGAGGGGGAGGGAGGAAGAGGGAGGGAGGAAGAGGGAGGGAGGAGAGGCGGAAGGGAGAGGAAGGAGGAAGGGAGGGAGGGAGGAGGAAGAGGGAGGGAGGAGAGGAGGGGGGACATTGGAGAGTGACCGGGGGGTCTGTGGCAGCCCACGAAGCGCCAGGAAGAGAGGGCGGCGCATGCAGCGAAGTGCTCATCCCATTCCCTCTCTTCTGGCGGGGAAGGACGGGAAGGAGGAGGAGGAGGAGAAGGAGGAAGAGGACGGCGTGCCTACGACGGATGAGTGGGATGATGATGATGATGATGATGATGATGATGATGATGATGATGATGCTGCTGCTGATGCTGATGATGATGATGATGTTTATATTGATAATGTTCATGCGGATGTTGATGATATGATGGTGACGATGGTGGTGGTGGTGATGATGATGCTGGTAATGGTGATGATGCTGGTAATGATGATGACGATGCTGATGATGGTGGTGATGATGATGATGGTGCTCAAACCTTTAAGCCTTCAAACCCTTTAACCCTGTAAGGCCTTAAGCACTCAAATACCTGTACCCTTTAAACCCGTACATCCATAAGCCTTTAAGCCTGGAAGCCCGAGAACTCTTGAGCCCTTGAATGCTTTAAACCCATAAACACCCAAACCATTACCCCTTTAAACCCGTATGCCCTTGAATCCTTAAGCACTGGAATCCTTAATCCCTTAAGTCTTTGAACGCTTAAACCCTGAAACCCTGGGACCCTTGAGCCCTGCACCCCTTAAGCCCTGAAGCCCTGATTCCTTTAAGCCATTGAATCGTTATATTAACATCCCCGGACAAACCTGGTACAAGTTTCAACCCAGGCAATGATGCTAGCTTCTGGAACACATATGCAGACATAAGCAGATGATTCCATTTGGGGATATCCGAACATCGCCTCGTTGTTTGGCCAGTTGTAATTCGTATCAGTTTGTCTTTTCGAGTCGGTTGGAAAATTTATCAACCAGTTGGGATTAGATCCAGCCGGTTGGAATTAGTACCGCATGCGGAGGAGAAGCTCCCCCGGTTCGAACTATTGGTGCGGGGGGGCGGCTTCCTCCCCCGGTTGGGACCAGGGGGGGGACAAAGCTCAAACAAACCTCAAACAATGATCAAACAAAGCCCAAGCAAAGCTCCAACAAAGCTCATACAAAGCTCCAACAAAGCTCCAGCAAAGCTCCAACAAAGCTCCAACAGAGCTCAAACAAAGCTCGAACTTGCTCGGGCGGGCGCGGCAAGTGGGGTAAGTGAGGCAAGTGGGGCGCATTTGGAATGGTGGCGCAGGACGTAGCTCTTGATGATGAAGATGACGCCTCAACACTGACTGAAGGTTTCATTTAATGCCCCGCCCGCCCAACCGGCGTCTTCGGCGGTTGTGATATATTGTCCCCCAACCTTGTCCCTGATTGCTGTCCCGCCCGCCAGCCCGACTGAACGCCCCATCACTCAGTGAATCGTGCAATCAATGTGCCGTCCTCCCGACCGGCGTCCCCGGTGGTTGTGATCATGATGATGATGGTGATGATGAGGACGCCCCTTCGCTGAGTGAAGGCTACTTTGAATGTCCCGCTCGCCCGACGTGCGTCTTCGGTGGTTCCAGCGTTTTTTCCTTCATCTTTGTCCCATCTCAGATTGGAGGTTGCATTTGCTGTCCCGCCCGCCCGCGTGACTGAATGTGCCCCATGACTGATTGAATCGTAAATTTGATGTATCGCCCGCCCGAACGGTGTCCCCGGTGGTTGTGATATCTTGCCCCTCAATCTTGTCCCAACGCCGAGTGCAGGATGCATTCGATATCCCGCCCATCACCGCCGTCATCGACGACGCCGTCGCCGTTTCCGTCGTCGTCGTAAGCTCGAACGAAGCTCAAAGCAAACCAACACAACGCTCAAACAAAGCTCAAACACAGTTCCAACGGAGCTCAAGCAAAGCTCAAACACATCTTACACATCGATCAAACAAAGCTCACGCAAAGCTCAAACAAAGCTCTCACACAGCTCAAACAAAGCCCCGACTCAGCTCCAAAAAAGCTCCAACAAAGCGCAGACAAAGCACAATCAAAGCGCAAACAAGCCATAACAACGCGCAAACAAAATCTCAAGCACAGCTCCAATGAAGTTAATTCAAAGCTCCAGCATAACCTACACATCGCTGAAACAAACTCAAGCAAAGCCCCAACAAACTCCAACACAACTGGAACAAAGCTCCAACAGAGCTCAAGCAACGCTCAAACAAAGCCCAAACCAAGTTCAAACTAAGCTCCAGCAGAGCTGAAACAAAGCCCCAACCAAGCTCAATCAAAGCCCCAACAAAGCTCAAACAGAGATACACCATAGCTCACACATCGCCCAAACAAAGCACAATGTGTTGTCAGGCCCCTGTCGGCTTCTCCTCCTGCTGCGCCTCTCTCTGCATTTTGTTGTGCGCCGCCATATCGGCTCACAAGGACTCTTGAGGTATCATGGCGCGCCGGTCACGGACGCGCCCACGCCTCCGTAAAAGGAAAGAGAACGTGCTTTCTTTTAGCACGGGTCCCCCTAATGCGAAGGCCTTACGGCCGATGCCGCCGACCCTGGAGACGACCCTGTCGTCTGGGCGCGCCAGCCCTCGCGGATCGGACGGTGGCTGCGAGGCGCTGTCGGACGTCGGAGGCGTTGAAAGCGCGCTTGCCGCGCTCGGGAAAGTGTCCCTCCTCAGTTCTGTGATGGGGAGGAGGAGGAACATGAGGAGGAGGAGGACAAGGTCGAAGAGGAGGGACGACTGGTTGTTTTGTAACTTCCTAGTTTGTTCTGTAGCTTCCTAGGAGAGTTTTCGGTGCTTCTCGGGAGCCTCTTGGGGCCTCTGTGGGCTTCCTGGAGGGCCTCTTGGGAGCTTCTCGGGGCTGAGGGCTGGAAATGTTCGTTCGGGTCCCCCGTCTGGGCGCTCTCTTGGAACCGTTTTGGGGGCCTTTTTGTGAATCTGGGAGGCGTCTTGGGCCGTCTTGGGGCACTTTTGGGCCGTTTGGAGATCCTCTCGGAGGCCTTTTGGGCCGTGTCGGGGCGATCTTAGGAGCCTCTTGGGCCGTCTTGGCGCGTGGGGAAGCGGAAGAGGCGAAAACGCAATAAATCCTATAACAACGTATGGGAAATCCGTGATTTGTACCTCTTGGGGCTCTCGTGGGAACGGTCATGGAGGCCTCTTGGGGCGTCTCGCAGGCCTCTTGGGCCGTCTGGAGGCCGTCGAGGCGTCTTGGACAGATCATTCGGCGATTCGGCGCCCTCTTGGATCGTCTTGGTGGCCTCTCTGGGCACTCTTGGCCCGTCTTGGGACTTTTTTGGGCCCCGGGATTCCCAGGGGGGCGGCGTAAAAACCCGGGACCCCCCCCGGGACCCGCCCCGGGGGGCGGCGTAAAAACCTGGGACCCCCCCCGGGACCTCCCCCCCCCCCCGCGGGGAAGGGATCAAAGGGAAGGGGCTTCCCTTCGACTCAATTACGACGTTGCTCAATTTCGCTGAGGAGGGAACAGACGGAGAAGCCTCTTCCACACGCCGACAGGGTCGGCGGATTTTACCTCGTGCCCCTCTGTATCCATACAGTCATCCCCGTACAATCCACAGTGGCAGCGGAGCCTGTGGTTGAGATCCACGAGGGGAGTCAGGACGAGTCCCCTGTCATTCGGTTCTCGGGCGACGTACTCTTTACTCTTGTCCCGTTCTTCCCGCTCTCTGCCCCATTGCACCGAGCGCCGCCATGTATTCTCCAGGCGACGCTCAGCTTCAAGAAGATGAACTTCCAGCAGGTCCTTGGTTATAGCCAGATCAGGGTCCTTGGACAGGAGCTGGAGGGCGAGAAGACGTTCCTTGGGAAGGTGATCGCAATGTGGGCTGGTAGCACCAGGACTGGGCCCGCTGGTTATCACAGCCATGGACGGAAACACGGCCCAATGCGCAACAATCTTCGTCGGGTTGGACTGTGCGGGGGCGTGGTTCGCCGGTTGCACCAGATCGGCAGAGAGCGCTTCTGCGAGGACAGGCGATGCTTTTTTACCCATATGGTTCCGACCTGTTGGGGAGATGCCACTACCAGATCTTCTGATCGCCAACGGAGGCAATTTCCTGAACAATTGGAGGCCCCCAAAATACCACACGACCTACCTCCCACTTGGGATGGACAAGATCCGGATATTCGTCTAGACCCTCACATGAATGAGTTTGAACCAGGGGAAGGGCGGGGGGCCCTGCCCCGACCCCGGCCCTGGCCCTTGCCCTGGCCCCGGCCCCGGCCCAGGCCCTGGCCCCGGGCCTGATGGCCCCAACCCTGGCTCCGGCCATGGCCCGGGTCCTGGTGCGCCAGCCCCCGGAGCGAACCGGCCCCTTCCCCTCCCCCGGTCCCCCCCTCTCCCTTCTGTTTCGAAACGGGAGGAAGGGGGGGGGGCTGCAACCCTCCCTCCCCCCTTCTGGGGGGGGGGAGGGGAATTTTGCCCCGCCCCCCCCCCTGGTTTCCAAGAGGGGGGCGGGGAGGATGTTTTTCCAGTCGAGCGGCGGTTGATCGCGCTTCCTCAAACATACCAGCATCGATGCATTTGTTTCGTTTCGGGTCTCCTGGAGGACCCTCGTCGCCACGACTGGATTCGCGTCGTTACCCTGGTCGGCTCGGGAGCCGTTTGGCGCGTGGCGGCACTCACCGGTGCTTCGTTGCACCCCCAGTCGACCCGACGTGGGCGACGCGTTGCGGACTGTGCCAGGGGGGCCTAGGATGAAGATGCATCGCCCCAGAGCGTTCCAGAACTCCCTCCCGCCAAAGTTCTGGAGCGCTCTGGAACGGCCGCGGCGCCCGACCAGAGATTCCA